AAAAGATGGATGAAATGATACCGGGAATAAAAACGTGAAATTCGTTGATTTTTAGCCTGATTATTAAAACATTGACATTTTAACCACAGTTAACTGGCGTACAAATGATAATTAAATAATGCGATTAGTGTACCGATGATATTGACTATATAGAGGCAGCCATCTTGAATACGACTTCACACAAAAGAAAATACAAGTTGAGAAACGTAATTTTTAAAAATCAGGAAAAAAATTTACAAAACTTTCACAGCAAAACGATCCGTTTTGGCAACCTTAACCCAACCGCAAAATTCTGTGTGGAAAAATCCCTTGCATACGAAAACCTAACTACACAAAGAACACTGAACACTCTTTAAACACGGAAATTGTCATCTAACAGACTTTACTGCAAGGCTAACGCTGATTGCCCCAAACTTAGCAAAATGCTAACTATACTGAAAATAAGAGGGTTCTTACCTTTCCATGGCCACATGGAATGTCATCATCGTGGAGTGATATTGATTGACAGCTCACCTCTCCGTACAGATCGATGACCTCGCACGAAATACTGCACATGCCCTGAAAATAAGTGCGCCAGTTGATATGTTATATTCGACACTCGCCATGATAACATGGCCTTCCATATGTGGGATTAGTTGTCAAATCATCTGTATGCCTCATGTATTGCAAATGACTATAACTATCAACTGAGATGATGGGTTACGCAAGACCGTGGTGCGTTATGTTCTATTGTAATGTGTTCTCATACGTATACATGTATATGTTAAAAAAATGCTCAGTCGCTCTCCCCGTAAGCCAACTATAAAAGTAACATAATGAATATTACATGTGGTCAATTGCCATGTCAGTCGGCCGCGTGCTCATCGCCCGTAATAGGTCACTTGTTAAAGGGCGGTAGTCGTCGTGCAACGCATGGGCGAGATAAACAAAAATGGAAACTTTGACTGTTGCGCAGATCAATGAGTACAACCTAAGACGTTACCAAGTTTTGATTAGGTATTTTTAAAATGATTGGAAGGTATCGAAGTATTCACCGGCGGTAATTAGTGCAAGTCGCGCCCAGGTCAAATCTCATACATGTGATTATCATTAGAAGAGCGCATTGGATTGTGGGAAAATCAATGCTTATCAACACAAATGTCGTACATGCGCAGCGCTACGACTGCCGCCCTTTAAGCCTGTAGACAACAACCTACCGTTATCATCGGATTACGCCATTTACAACACCGTTCACTGGAGTGAGTTTCACTGTTCTGGAAGGCATTCTTGCATGCTTCGTTACAGACTCCATCTTCATAAATTGCGTCCTTCGTGTGGCGGGTATCATCAAAACAGTCGATACCGGGCTGGCTGCAGTTTTACAAAAATACAAATTAACAAAATTGTACACAACAATACATATTCAACTACGTCATCATCATGATAACATACTCAACCACGTGCTCGATTCCTTTGGTTTTTATGATTCAATCCTAATCTAATCTAACACACACCTAATGTATCTCAAGAGAGAATTTCGGTTACACTCCGTGAATTCAGTGATATCCGGTGCCACCATTATAGCGTTTAGGTCTTCTTTCGACGGAGCGCCGCAGTTTTCGTCTTCGTCGTCATAGTACATACCAAGTCTTGGAGGAAGTAAAGTTAAAATAATTTAATATCACACACTAAAATAATAAATGTATAAACAATAGTTGACACGATTAACTACTTGGGAGTTGTGCTTCACAGTAGAATCCTAGAGGTAAATATTTAATATTTATTATTTGGAATGTAACTTTTCATTTTATGCAATATTTTTTATTTTGCGGACATCTTTCATGTAAAGTTTTATTTCGTTTTTAATCTATTTCTGAAACCCGCGTAACTCTAAAAAAAAACAGTACCATTTCAGCCACGTTATAAATGACGCAATAATCTGTGATATGGTGTAATTCCACTAATAACATGGTTTTTCACAACTGACTAAATAGTGCAAGGCAGTATTTTCTAGCGAAATTTTAAGGGACCTGAAATTGCTTTATGCAGTAAATCTATTTAACTCACGTGAGACCAAGTAAGTGCGATAGCAAAGACCGTGGATGCTCAAAGTCTGAGTCCGTTGAGTATAGAAGTACCGCACATCGATCGCCATTACACGATTGGAAACTAGCAAGTGCGTCACCCTTTCCGGTATCAATCACGGAATCTCGGCTGAAATATGAAGTAAACAGTGCAAGGTATATGAATGATGGGACTGTGCAATTGCTATTTGGCCCAATGCATCTTCTAAACATCGTCGTGCTGTGTTACTGTTATTCACACTCCTGAGTGGTAACAGAGAGATCTAGTTGGAAATGTAAAGCGTCCCAAAAATTGAATTTCGTGTAAATAAAACATTTTACACCCATTGTATACTGCGCATGGGACTCATATCGATTCCGACGCGTTGCGACAACTGTGAAACTTTTATTAATATAATCCCTATCCTAATAATATATTTATACTCACTCGGCGATTAAAATAGCGACATCATAATGTTGGCGGCTCAGAGGATCATCGCTATAAAATGTTGGCTCGACAACGTTGCAGAACATGTTGAACAGTGTTGCTATATCAGACCACTGAGATTCTTCCCTCTCTCGCTACAAATAAATGCAACGAGGTTCATATAATTAAACGTTCAATATAAACAAAAGTTTTAGAATACAACTGAGGACAGAATAACGTGTAAATTGCGTGTAACTCGTCGCAGTGATGCGTGCAATCTACCAGTTACCGCTATTTCTCGGTAGTCAAATTTCACACGCTTTGATGCAAATACTGAGCAAGACACCACCTAAATACAGTAGACGCAGACACAATACAAAATAAAGAGCTCTTCACGTGTCTGCGATACGAACGTTACGACAGACAGCATACTTTTCTGTCCACGTTCGCAGATGATTCAGTGGACACGTCACTTGCGTCATGTTCATGCGCCAAGAAATGCGCGTTATAATCACGTGTACAGTTCAAGACCCTTCATCGTCTTTGTGCACATATGATGTATGTAAGTGGACCTTTCTAGGCACTTTTATCAAAAATTGCATATTTACACGGGGTGGGGCAGATGGGTCGGTCGCCCCCTCGAAAAAAATGTTGGGAGGAGTCGCCCCTCCAAAGTCAAGTTGAAACCCTTTGCGTCAGCAAAATTTGCCCCTCAAAATTCAAGAAATAGCGTTTCAGAGAGTCTAGATTTCAAAATTTGTAAAGAGGAGCATGCCCGGACCCCCTAGTAAGATCTCCTCATGCAAAATTTCGTGCCGCCATCTCTGCTCTGATACATTTGAATTCTCTATCCACAAAGAGAGGGGATGACATCACACTGAGAGACAGGGGGCTGTTGAATAATAATAATAGTAATCTCACCTCCAACACTGGACTCTTAAATATCTCTACTTTGACAACTTCAATCATTATAAATATGCCATAGTCTGTCAGGCTTTGATGCCCAAACACGAATTGCACCTGCAGAAATATACATACATGGAAATGAAATGTCTTGTATGATTCGTTGCGTTTTAATTTATACAGAGAGTATATCATAACAAAGTTCATTTCATCTCCTATTTCACTCTGTTTACATTAATTTTTCAGTAGATATTTTTGGTTGTGTTTGTTTTCTAGTGCTTAATTGTAATTACTACATCTAGTTAGTAATTTTGTTATTGAAATACTTTGTTTCAAATTAAAATTTTCTAAATTATAAGAATCTTTGAATTTTTCATTATTTTTGGTTTCAGTTATATTTTTTCCCAAAATGTATGTATTTGTTTTTATAAGTTTGCTAATTTAAAATATGTTTTGTTAACAAATCATTTTGATGTTCTGCAGAAAAATTCATAATGTTTAACACTTCCCGAACTGAAGAAACCTATTGTAAAATGGGTTACTGTTGTTCAAGATATGACTGTTTTGTGGTATTATTGACTTGTAATTTACTGATACGAATCCAGTATTTCATTAAATAAATCTTAACATCTACTAAAAGTAGGAATTCACCTACTTCGGCTATGCATGTTCAGTCCTAGTATTTGTTTGTAAAATGTCAATTGTGTTTTTTTTTCTGCTATAGTTTTCTCCCATTTCTCTTGAATTGTTATACCCGAGATTTCAGACGCAAAGAATACTATAGGCTGAATACACATTCTGAAAAGATAACTGAGAGCTCTACAGCTTGTATCTTTTGGTAAGGACTGTTTCAGTGCACACATTGCATTGACTATTTTATCTAGTAAATTTCGTTTGACTTCAGTGTAGCAGCCCTTTGATTTTATATTATATACCCATAAATATCTACTAATGTAATATTGTGTTCTTTGTTATAGAATTGTTCTATTTTTTTCAGTGTTCCTGGTCTAAAAATAACAACATTTGTTTTTGTCAGGTTTACTTGGATATTCTATTTATGAAATAAACCTCTAAAAACCCGTTAGTGTATATTGTATCCCTTTCTTTGTTTGAGAGACTAACACCAGATCATCTGCAGTTATTTAATCTAACTGAATCTAGGGATGCATCTTTTAGTGAGATACTAACTTAATTCAAATGAATTAGGCTTATGACACCGCACGGTCAAACTTCTCTTCATTTCAAACATGGGTCTAATTTTATTCCTGAAACAAATACATGATTTTGTATTCTTTTATGACGTTATATATTTTATCATTTTGGATATCTATGAAACATGAATTTAATTTTCTCTTTGATTTCAAGTATTTGTTAACAATAGTTTTCAATAAGAAAATCTGATTTGTTAAAAAAAATGTTTAAAATGTCTAGCATTAAATATGATACAGAAAGTTTCACCTACACAACTAAAAACAGCTATTCCTCTATAATTTGCTTGATCGGTTTTGAGATTAACTCTTTTCGAAAAACGGTATTAATATTATTGCAATAACTATTATTATTTAACTGTCCATAGAATTCTTTCCACGTTCTTGAGGAAATTGGGTTAGATTTATTGTTTGAAACTTTCATTTCATTGATTATTTTCTAAAATTGTTGGGGAATATCATCTGTTTTGGCAGTGTAACTTATCAACAATGTTCTTCTTTGTTTGCTCTAATTTACTATTTATGTTTGAACATTCGTAACCGTGACCGTGACCGTGACCGTGACCGTGTTTGCTTTCAGAGACGTCTTTCTGTCCCGTAGCCTGTTAAACGTCGTTTGCTTTTATACCATGTACTGTATATGTATGTGTAACATTGAATTCATAAAATCGCCTCAGAATGTAGTTTGTGTATCGTGCAAGAATAACGGACAGCAATCTACGTCACAAGCGCTTATGTACAAAAGCGATTCAAGCAATAGTTATTAAAAAATATGCAAAACAGTTTAAAATGGCAACGAACCAACTGGCCGACAAACGTCTATAACATTTCTGAAAACTTACATGGTTAATAATGGATAGCGCAAAGTCAGTGGACTCTTCTCCGTACTTCTGATATAATTCGTAATCTACAGTAACAGCCACCTCAAGGTGAATTAAGGTTTCACTTGGAAACTCTACTTGTCTCAGCTTTGCAGTCTTGACAGCGGCATCAATGACCTCTTGAACACTGGCGTACGAAATTTGCGGCGGCGCTGGGATTTTCCCTGTATCTGTTGGACAAAACATTCGTATGAGACCGAGAACACCAATGGAGTTTGTCGCGATACCCCAGTCCCAATATACTTTAGTAACGCCGAACAATGCATGCAAAATGCATATGTCAGACAATGTTTTGAAAACCGTGTGCATGGTTTTATTACGCATTCACCTGGTATATATGTGAGAGACATGTCTTAGGGTGTATCGCGGCTGTTCACAGGACACGTAAGCGTTTACCAATAAATCTTTGCGTTTTTAGCGTGTGTTATTATCATCGCTTATGATTCAATTCCCGCACGTCTTAGCACACGACGATAAACATATTTTTGAATATATGACCTACCATCGTCTGTGAAAACGGCGGCTTTTTTCAACCTTCTGTCTTGTTGGTTTTCAAACATTCGATATTTGCCTTGTAATTTGCCTTTTGGAGCTTCTTCTGCTTGTATGACGTAACGTGTACCGTCTTCCAGTAAAATTGTACCACTGTGTGTCTGTGGGTAATATTAAAGCGGGAGAGTCGTCAGCTGCGCATGCGTCAGGTGGCCATCGCGTGTCATTCTTTACAAACAAGCGTCTACCTATGAGCCTTTGCGTTTTTTAGCGTGTGTTGTTATCTCGCTTGGGACTCAATTCAACACCCTCCTGCTTTAATACCTGAGTAGGACATGTGGTACAAATTTTGTTATTTCATACACACAATCGATCAATGCTGATTATTTCGGTAACATCACCTTCATTTACTAACCAATAATTCGCAAGCGTGAGTTGATTGACATTCCACCAGATTTTTGTTTACTGTACCTTTTCTCCACACACACTGAGTGCTATCCTACCAGACACATCGTCTTGTGAACGACACTGTCTTTGCACGGAGCCCAGGTAGTGACATCTATTCTCCGGAACATAACCCTCCTCGCGCACGTCTTGTACCATCTCCCACAAGGCGTTTGGAACAATTAGATCTGAAGGAAGAAACACACATGCGAAGTAATCGTCAACCTATTCACAGCTATTGTCAATTTTGTTAACCCTGTGCCGGCAAAATAGCGCTGTTCAAAAGTTTTAAAAAACGACGTTATTAAACTTTGGATATAGTTCAACGTTACCTAATAGACAATTTATGGCGGATCGCTATGTAACTAATCCTGTGTCATCGCTGATTGGTTGTCTCTACGACTTCAGTACATTACCTGGGATACGCATGCGCACACTAACCCTTTCTCAAGGCCGGCCTTCAACACTCCAGACCGATTAACCAGTCATTTTTTCCTACATTTTTCTAGTCTTACGATCATATTCGGCAACTGGTCTCCACGATTACGGGTCATTACCAACAAATCAAACTGATGTAACCGTCAAATTGTGTTAATCGCGCAAAAATAGGTTCAAATGTGAAACACTTTTGCGCAGACGATAACGACAATATAGCCCTAGCTGTGTTACGTTGTTGTGACGTTTTTGGTGATTTTTTTTGTAATATTCAAAAAGTTTACTGTCTGACCAAAATTCAGGCAAAATTACAGCAGTTATTAATCAATTGTTTACTTATTTGTTTGTCCGGATCGAATGATTTCTCAAATAATTAATCACATTATGTAATGATCAGTGCTGTTATTTGGCTCAATATTAACAATGACTTTAGTAAACATCGCCGTCACGTGCTTAAAGCGCGGTAGTCGTCGCGTTGCGCATGTGCGAGATATATGGGTCTC